GGGGGGGGGGGGGGGGGGGGGGGGGAAAGAAGTAGGCTCCGCCCAGTTTCAAAGTTGGAAAACCACCGGGAGTACCTTAGTGCCTTGGCTCTGCGTTAGGGAACAGTTGTTAAGCATCAAAGAAAATTGATGAAACGTTGAAGTTCATCGTGTGAGGACAGATATGGCGATTAAAGAGGAGCTTGAGAAGCATTTGGAAACAGGGCAAAGAGGTTAATTCACATAATGATTATTTTTGGGGCGAAATTTCCGGTACACACAAAAAAATGGTTATTTTGAATCAAATAAAAATATTTATTTGAAATTTTTTACTTATTTCAAGAATATTTCTGTTATAAATGTATAAACTTGGTTACTTGTTTCAAAAAATCGGATTTAATTACATTGAACAGACAATTCATTTACTTAAAATCAAATTTTTATTAAATAAAAAAAACAATTTATTTATTTCAAATAAATTATTTTTTTAAATCGAATGGACAATTTATTCATTTAAAGTAAATGGTTTATTTATTTTGAGAAAATCATTTTCATGTACTTTGTGAAAGAATTTTGAAAGTGGGTTTTAAATATTCGTGGGCTATGTGGAAAAAGGTCGTATGAACCTAATCGAGGAAACGTGGAATCTGGACCATTTGAGCTCTCTAGAATCATTGTGATTCAATTGATTACACTTTTCACTCCACTATATTACGACCTTTCACCACCGTCTACCTGATAGTGAAACCATGGAACAGAAATTTCTTCCCCCCTCCCCCTAAATGTATTACGTGATATATGTACAGCCCCTAATAATTATTGCATGTGTTTCCTTGTATCTTTTTCGAGTTTGTTACCATCTCGAAGCAATGATGAACGATTAATATCAAATAAAAATTTTTTTAATTAAAAGAAATACTTTATTTGATTCAAATAAAGAATTTTTCTTAATATAAGAAAAATGTTTGCTTGGTATAAATAAAGAATTTATTTAGATGAAAAATCATTTGGTGAAAACATATTTATTTAATATAAACAAAACTTTGGATAGAAATTTGTATTCAATTGGGAAAAATATAAACTTTATTTGATTCAAATAAATAATTTTTCTGGGTGTACTTTTAATAAGTTCCAACTGGAAATTTTTATCAAGTGACGATTTCATTGCAATTTCAAAGAATTTAGTAGTTGAGCAGGAAAAAATTAGACTTCTTCCACGTCATTTTTTTTAATAATAAGGGAATGTTCTCGGAAAAATAACTTTTTCATTTTTCCAGAAAAAAAATTTAAAAGGAGTATTTTCCGCGTGATTTTTCCGGAGGAATCCAATTTTGTAGGTAAAATTTGTCTATGACAATTTTAAAAAAATCCCCTCCGTAGTTTTTTTAAAAATAGTCTTTTGAATATGATCACAAATTTCAGATTCTTAATTATGAAAAATGCGGAAGATACATCAAGTTATTAGTCGACCAAAAAATTCGTCATTTTCAATGGATCCATTAGGTTGGATCCATTGAAAATTTGTTATGAGTATTAATTAGAATGAGTTAATTTCCATTAAAACAATGAAAAATTAATGGAAACCGTACAAAAAATGCACCTATCCGAATTTTAGGGAGGAAATGCGTTGGCGAAACGTGGATTACTGAAAGGAGTCCTCTTAACTATAAAGTAATAAAAGACTAGGTACATATGTATGAGGACCACTAAATATAGAGTTACTTTTTTCTTGAGATATTAATAGAAATTTTGATAAACATATAAATTTCAAAATGTATCTTCTCCCGTTTTTTTAATAATTAAGGAGCAAAAAATTTGCTGTCGTATTCAAAATACTATTTTGAAAAAAATACATTGGGAATTAGTGGTAAGTTGACTTTTCGATTTAAAAAAATTGAATCCCTAATCTTGAGTGGACGGAGACAATTTTAATGGACAAAATCAGATTTCTCAGGAAAAATCACGCGGGAAATAGTGTTTTAAAAATTTTTTTCTCGAAAAAGGAAAAATTTTTTTTCCCGGGGTGAACCTCCCCTTAAATAAAATTGGTTGCCTCCACAGAGAAAAAGAAGTTTCTGGCTTTCAGTAAAAACCTCTGAATTTCAAACTTTGTTGCACTAAAATTTAACGAGTAAGAAATCCTGAAAATAAGGAAAATTTTTACTTATATCAAGAAAATTTTTCATAAAATCAGAGAAAGTTTTAATGTGCAATAATTTTTACGTAAGTCTAGAGTAAACTTTGCTTTGCTTGCTTTGAGGAACGTTTTTCTTGTTGTGAAGAAATTCAGAACTTGTGGTTTTTTTAAAAATAAAATCTCATGGCTTTTGAATCAAGAACATGCTGATTCTCAAATTGTAAATCTTCTCGTTCTTGAATTGATGATTTTGAGGAAATATTGATTTTTTTTAAGAACCCAATGGTTTTTGATTGAAAATTTTTTCTCACTCAAGTCCTTCAATTGAAATAAGTAGGTTTTTGGTGCTGAATTTTAGAGATTTCCTTTCTGAATTTGAATAACTACTTTCTTACACTCAGAATCTGTAAATGTCATTGCGATTATTCCATGTAAATTAATAGGAATCAGAAAAATTCAGGTGAATCTACTTCTGAATTTTTAATTAATTGAAAATTAAGTGTATTTTTATAGTGAACATTGACGCTTTTATTGAAAATTTCTGAAAGTTAGGGAATTTTTATTTCTCTGTTGCTTAAAATTTTGGAACTCCATGAAAATTTCAGTGAAATTTGAAATTAAAAATTTTTCCTAACAGTGTATGTCTATTAGTGCAATTGAACTGCGCCTTGGGAAATGTCATTGAACGTATTGTAGTTCAGCCCTTTTTATGATCAGTGCTGCTCCATTGAATGAGGATCAAGACGGAATCAGTAGAGAAATTTTAACAACGAGAAAACTGAATAAATTGAATACCTTTAGATCTAAGGGAAGTGATCTTTTTTGTTAGGACCTTCCGATATTGTGGGGGAAAAATTGCGGACCGGAAAGATAGTTCATATATGAAATTTTTTTTTCTAAATTTCTTACAAATTAAATTTCAGAAATTTTTATCAAGTGACGTTGCCAAGGAAATTTTACGGTGTTTTGTCAACCAAAACAACCATTTCATTAATTTTATTATTAAATGATTAGAAAATGAGTGAAAACTACAAATTTCACTCCAATTATTTCTCGACCCTTTAGAAAATTCAGGAGAATTTAGGTGAAAATCAAAAATTATGGCTGGCTCTTAACATTGGTCTTCTATTGAAAATTCTATCAAGTTCTGACATTTCTGTCTTATCTTGTGAATTCCCTTGAATTCTGTTTGAGATGGCATTCGATTTCTCAAAAACTGATGCTGGAGAAAATGAACTTATCAAAATATTAAACAAAATATTTCTGATAATGAACTTATCAGAATTCGATTTTGGCATGTAATTTGACAATTCCATTCAAAATTGCAACGAAATTTTGATTTCAGATAAAATTAAATGCAATATTCAATTAAATTTTTGTATATTTTTATTTTCATTGTAATTGTAATTACTTATAATCCAAATGTTCCGAATGTTTCAATTGTTCAATTTTTATTAATATTATTCACCATAATTTGTCATCAGTAATCAAAGAATTTTCATTCCAAGTCCACCACAGAATGTGTAGACAATCACGAATGAATTAGTAAGATTCATTTGAACCTAAATTGATTAAATGTGACATTTATGTTGTGTTATAAAGATGAGTTTTATTGTGAGAGAAATGTATGGACATAATTACTGTCACTCAAAACCAAATTCATCATTTCCCTGCTTCATCAATTTTTTTCAATTGACTTCATTAACATTCAATCGATGCTTGCAATAATTTTTGTGAAAAAAATGCCAGGCGATTAATTAATGGTAATGAGTGCGGGATTAATTATTCACGTGATTTATTACAGACAATAATTTCTTCAGTTAATTGGCTACCGCATTAATTAATTAATCCATTGCCCAGGATAATTCAACTATTTTTTGTCGATTTTACACTCGATTGCTCATTTTTTTTTCGTTCAATCCTTTTTTTCTAGAGTTTTTTCTAATGACTTTTTATCTAAAGTGATTAAACGCTCATTAGTGAGGAGATTGAGCAAAAAATATGGCTAATTAATTCGCGAAAATACATCTTCACGGAAAGTGAACCAGGGGGAGGGAGTAACACGTGTGTGGGCTCGGTAGTGACAAATTTTGTGGGTCTGTCTCTCACTCTCTCTTCATTCCTGGAGATGAAGTTGCATATTTTGAAGCGTTCTTCCGGAACGGGCCATTCGTCACTTGATTTTTGTTGCGTTTTGCTTTATTTGATGGGACAAAAAAATATATTTGAAATGTCTGAGTTGTTCGTGGAAGCCGGGTTGTGACTTAATGTTATTAACGAGATGGGCTTTTGTTGGCATTTGACAGACTGTTAATAAATTGTGGATTTTACGCAGGGGAATATTGGAGGTTGCTGTCTCCTTGGTGATAGTTATTTTGTTTATTTGCATTAATTTTTTTCTTTTTTTTCCACACTCAGATGGCTTTTATTTTTTTTATCAAAGTTTAGTATTTACTAATCATGAAAATGATTATTATTTTCATTTTGATTTCTGGGTGAACTTTAAATTCATGAGAAATATTTTCTCTCCCACTCGGTGGAGATGTGTTTAAATTTTGAGGAATAAATCAAACCATTTATTTTCTAATTTTTACGTGACATTCTATTTAATGATTTTGAGCTAGAGACAATGAGTGATTTCAATTTTTTTTTCATTTTTCTTCCCAAACTTGTTTAAAATCATTTTTTACGTACGACATTCGATTCTATTATGATTTTGAGCCAGAGATAATGCGTCACTTCAATTTTTTTCCAATTATCTTTTTTTTTTTTGTTAACTTTCGGAATTTCTCAATTCAATTTTCCTTCCGGTATAGATCTGGAAAAGTCTATTCTTTCCTCACTGAAAAGAATTAAATGCAAATGTCAGTTGCTGCACTGAGAGAAATACTACTTTTGACAACGAAGGTTTACTTGATACAAGAAAATATTCTCTTGCCAATTTCAAAAATCGTGAAATCTCTGAATAAATAATTTCCATCTTGGACTGAAAGAATAGTATAGTGTGTTATAAGTGCGTAAAGAACCACTTTTTCGCACGCATGCGTAACACATCCTATTTTAGGTAATACACGGAGAGAAATGTTCAGTAAAAATTACGGAACTCACAATTCGCTCAACGATTACGGAATCGACTCAGAAAATTTAAATGAAGGTATCGTAATTTTTCACAAGAGATTCAGATAAAAATTACGGAACGCTCTGGAAAAATTCCGTGACAGTTCCGCAAAATTTCCTACAGCCGGATTTCGCTCCGGAATTACGGAAAAGACACGTAATTTTTATTGAATATTTCTCTCCGTGTACCTGCCGAGTTCAGTGTTCGGAAACGTAATGGGGGTAAAGTGGTTGCTTTTTTGCACGGTGTGCGTAAAGTTCAAAGTCGTATGTAAAGTAAATTTCGAGTGCGTAAAGCGAAGCTTTACGCACGAGAATTCACTTTACGCACGACCTCTGAAGATTACGCACACTGTGCGTAAAACAACCACATTACACACACTAAACGGTTTCGAAAAGTGAACTTTTCGGCACGCTCCGCGTGCCTAAAAGTCCAATTTCCGCCACATTGTGATGAAAAATATTGTTCGTAACTCGTGAAAAAATGTTTTTTAGCTCGTGGGATTATATCACTCGCCTTCGGCTCGTGATATAAACCTCGCCAAAAAACACTTTTTTGCACTCGTTACGAAATATACTATTCCAACAGAAGAAGATTCTCTTGTTTCGAGAGGATTTTTAAGAAGGTATTTATAAAGGAGTCAGGGGAATCGAAAAAAAGTCAAAAAATTGATGATTTATTTTTAATGCATTCTTTGATTTTTTCAAAACCTTAATGCAATATCCCACATAGCCTAGGAGCATGGGAGAAACACAGAAATTTTTCTAAAAAATGCATTTTAATACGGTCTCTTATGGGAATTCGGAAAACAAATATTAAAAATAGAAAAAAAGTCGCCATTTTCCTGAAATTTCGCACTCGGGTGGAGCTTTCATGGAGGACCACAAAAGAATGATCCAAATGGCATAGGATAATTGTATAGAAGAGATAATTAAAAAACTCATGAAGAAACATAACAGCTGAGTGAAACAGCTAACTTGTACCTCGAACGGCGCAACGTCACTTTTTCTATCCACATTAATTATGTTCCAACTATCCAAAAGACAAGCTAGAAAAATAAAAGAAGGTTTGAAATATGTGGGGAAAAAAATAGAAAAGTTATTAAAAAACCATTTTGAACATGAAAATGGTCGAAATGGATTGAAAATTTGTGATTGAAATATAGTTTTTGTTATCAGCGATTGGTTTTCTGTGAGAGAACAGTAGATTCCCCTCCGTCTCACCTCCTACATGCCCACCCCGCCATAAATACTTTAAAAATATAAATTTCATTAATACAGGGAGGTGCAGCGGTCTGGCAATGCTCCTGACCTGTGCAGGATGCAGAAAGCCAATTCTGGACAGATACTTGGTGAATGTGCTGGAGCGAGCCTGGCACACTGACTGCGTGAGATGCTTCGACTGTCAGGTGGAGCTCTCAGAGAAGTGTTTCTCCCGAGACTCAAAGATCTTCTGCAGGAACGACTTCTTCAGGTAAATGCACGAATCCCCCATTTCCCCCATCGCCACCATTCCCATTATCCATATCCCCCTGTTTTTCATGTCTCATTCACGAGCGAGTGCCCCCTTACAATGTTCGATCGTAATTACGATGTAGACTAGCGCCCGGACACGTTGAACACGCTCGATAATTGCGACATCATAAATAATTCATAAACAATCTCCAGAAAAATGAAAATAAAAAAAAGGTCGGATTATACAGCTGGTGCGGATCATGGGTGGTCATTTTTTGTTGCTAAACAGCTCCAGTGATTTATCAAAAAAAATTTCTCTCATTCTTTAAAATACCCCAATAAAATCAGATTTATCATGCACTCCTGATATTATACCTCCCCTCAATAATATATCTTTATCCTCATCAGTGGACTCAACAGCGGCTAAAGCCGTAAGTGTGACTCTCTGTCGGCGTCACCGTGACGTTTTTACGACACACGTAGAATAACTTCCCCACCACTAAAAAAAATCCCCAGGTCGTTTGAGAAATTATCGAACTGGAGTTTTGAAGAAGAAAAAAAGGAATTCCGCCGAGTGAGAGAGCCGATATATATGTTAGACCTTGACATTTTCGTGGGAGTTGGCCTCTCGTAAAAGGCAACACTTCAACAACCGGCGTAATCCTCTGACTCGGTGTTATTCAGGCCAATTTTTATGGATTTTTTATTAGTCGAGTTATGAAGTCGATCTTGGTCCATTCCACTTTCGTTTTTGTGAGTGGATCGGTTAGGTGATTACTGCATTACATGGAGTGGAAAGAATGGGAAATTTCTGACTATTTTATTTTTTTGACAAGCGCTTTTGGAGGGATTTCAACGTGAGGTGATTGAGAAATGTGATTGGCGGGAAGGAGGGAGGACTTATTTTGGGTACACTGAAAGAAAAATGTAGTAAAACGGATGGATTATTTATTGACTCAAACGCTCAGTGGACTGATAGAAAATAGTATATTTCGTAACGAGTGCGAAAGAGAGTTTTTTGGCTCGTGGAAGGTTTATATCATGAGCCGAAGGCGAGTGATATAATCCCACGAGCTAAAAAACATTTTTACACGAGTTACGAACAATATTTTTCATCACAATGTGGCGGAAATTGGACTTTTAGGCACGCGGAGCGTGCCGCAAAGTTCACTTTTCGTCACAGCGTGATGAAAAAATATTTTTATTGAGATGTTTTCTTCCTTCACTGAGAGAAAAATCTGAAGTTCGACTTACAGTAAAAAAATAGTTGAGGCAGTTTTGGTGAACGATACGATTTTTTTTTGTATGCGGCACATAACATTGTAGTAACTTCACAAGCGTAATTTTTGCAAATCAAAATGCAGTTAAGCTAACCAAAATTCAAAAGTAACTACGACAAATCTATCGCGAGTAGAACTATAAAATAGTAGCAATGACTACATTCCATTATAGTAATCACTTCTCCGGCCATAGTTACCGTAACCCATGAGAAATTGTTGAGGACTTTTTGACTATAGTGCGATGGTGATAGAATATAGTCAGAAGAATCATATTTTTTTCTCAGTGTAGATTCCGGCAAATTAGGGATTAGTCCCTGAAAAATGGTGATATGTCCCTAAAAATCAAATCTTGGTTTTCTCCTCAAAATTTTTCAACTCGGGAAATTAATTCGACAGTAATGAATGGCATTAGAAATTTCTCTGTTAATCAAACCTTGAGCTTTAAAATATTCTATGCCCATTGAGTCATGAGATATTCATGGAAATGAGGAAAAAGCAGTATTGAAGTCGTGGAAAATCAAGATAGATGTTCGCATAAAAGTGATGTTGCACTTGCAGTTACTCAGGATTGATGAATGACGCTCTTTGTGTGAAACCGTGCCCTTTTTTGATAGTTGTTGCATTCACTCAGCGAGCGGCGTGCATAACGCACGGTGGCTGTGTACTTTATGAGGTACTTTGCATCCTCAATGAAAAATGCATTAGTAGACTAATAAATTCATTATGAGAGCTACTGGGTATTTCGTTGAATAACGAAACTATGGCACGTTTTACGTTCTCCCCAATTAATAATCAAACTGAGAAAAAAAATATAAGTCTGCACTGAGAGAAAAAATTAGTTCTGCCAAAAGACTATGTTCCACGTGAGAATATTTGATGGAGTGGAACAGATTTACTTGAGATAAATTAACCAACTTGATAGAAGGCAATTTAATATCTTTCACAAAAATTGAAGTTTTCTCGTGATCATGCCAAATCCTAGAAGAATTCGAACTGTTGGCAGGAAAGAATATAATCTATTCTACGACAATCATTTGATTTGAGAGATCTCCGTACGTTTATATCATAGAAAGAATACGTTGGTGAGGAAAGAATATTTTTTTTCCCTAAAAAATTTCCCCTCCAAATTATTTAGTTTTGTCAATAACACAGTTTTGGGCAAGAAAATTGTAGTTGACTTTTGGAATTCTCATTTGTTCTATGGAAATTATAAGTGTTTATTGGACAAAGATATACACTACTCAGTAACATTCACTTGATAAAACCGGAGCCTCATGTAATTCTGTGTAGAACGAATGCTGTGCCCGCTACTCGTTCTGCTCGCCAACCTCCATAAATGATCCCCATATGACCCTCATGACCCTTATTTGGATCCTTAATCTGACATTTATAATCCGTAATCTCGTGACCCTTATTTTGACTCTTATTCTGACTAGTGATGCCGCAAGACAAGACAATAAATACGTAATTCTTGTCTTGCCTTGTTTTGTACTGTCTTGTAATTTTAGCATTTTTTTCTTATGTTGTCTTGTTCCAATTAGCAAGAGAAAATTCCGCTCTTGTCGTGTCTTGTGTTCTCTTGTGCAACTCGACAATTTTATTTTTTAATTCCGTGAGATCAATAAGTTGAGTTTTCCACGTTTGGTTTGTGATTACTTGACAATTTGTGTATCCAGTGTTCTTTCCGGAACTTTGTTTTCAAAAGCTGGTCTCATTATCAGAAACTACCGGAGTCAATTAAGTAACAAAAATGTTGAGTACTTACTGTGCATGAATTCATGGTTTTTATCTCCCCTAGCTCCAATCATGAGAGCTGCGCTATTCAAGAAGAAAGATTGATATAATCGAGGAATACATAATTCTTTACAATATCCAGCGGTAGGTAAAGTGTCATTAAAAAAATTACATTGTGTTATTGATGAATAAAACAATGTAAACGCGGAGCGTGCCTAAAAGTCCAATTTCCGCCATATTGTGATGAAAAATATTGTTCGTAACTCGTGAAAAAATGTTTTTTAGCTCGTGGGATTATATCACTCGCCTTCGGCTCGTGATATAAACCTCCCACTCGCCAAAAAACACTTTTTTGCACTCGTTACGAAATATACTATTTTGTCACTGCTGCTACGTTCAGCCCGTGTCGAAAAGTGCCTTTTCGTTTACTAGTAAACGAAAAGTCGAAACTTGTAAACGAAAATACTTTTCGTTTACTAGTAAACGAAAAATGGCACAGTTCGGCACTCGCTGAACGTAACATCACTAACAAAAAATATAGTTCGGATACACGTGCGACGGGGTGTTTTAATTCGTGTGATTGGCAGCCCTCGGCTTCGTCTCGGGCCGCCAACTTCACACTCGTTACCACCCCGTCGCACTTGTATCGAAATATACTATTTCTGTTGTTCCACATCTTTTGTTTTCTCTTGCCTCTTGTTGTCTCCCATCTTGTCTTGTTGTGTTCTTCTTAACAAGAGAAAAGTCTGTCTGTTGTCTTCGCTCTTGCAGCAGTACTCATATCTTGTTTTGTTTCTCATGCGTTCGTGCGGAATCACTAATTCTGACCCTTAATATGACCCTCGTGACCCTTAATTTTGGAGTATCAATTTCGAGTACCAAATTTCCATCACCACAAGTCGGTTTCGATTTTCATAATATAGGAAAACAACAACTATACTCATTTATAAAAAACATAAATATCCACTTGTTACAGTTGAAAAATAATGCTCAATAGAAAAACACTACTTGCAAAGAAAGCAATATAGACAATTTTCATTGATAATGAAACTGAAGGAAATTCCTTAAACTCAAAGAACATTTCCAATCCACTGGAATAGAATTCCCAGTGTCCCAATAATTACATTGTGTTATTGATGGATAAAGAGTTTTTGACAAATTTTTTGATTAATTATTTTTTCTGTTGTTCCATATCTTTTGTTTTCCCTTGCCTCTTGTTGACTTNCGAACCTCGGTCCAAGCCTGGGCGCCCAGACTTGGCAAGCCCAGGCTTGTGCCAGGCTTGGCCCGTTTCTACAACACTGGCATTTCGTACGTGGGGTCTTGTCTTGTTGTGTTCTTCTTAACAAGAGAAAAGTCTATCTGTTGTCTTCGCTCTTGCAGCAGTGCTCTTATCTTGTTTTGTTTCTCATGCGTTCTTGCGGAATCACTAATTCGGACCCTTAATATGACCCTCGTGACCCTTAATTTTGGAGTCTCAATTTCGAGTACCAAATTTCCATCACCACAAGTCGGTTTGGATTTTCATAATATAGGAAAACAACAACTATACTCATTTATAAAAAACGTAAATATCCACTTGTTACAGCTGAAAAATAATGCTCAATAGAAAAACACTACTTGCAAAGAAAGCAATGTAGACAATTTTCATTGATAATGAAACTGTAGGAAATTCCTTAAACTCAAAGAACATTTCCAATCCACTGGAATAGAATTCCCAGTGTCCCATAACATGTGGGAAAAGTTAGAATGGACAAGTGTCCGACGGAATCAAACTCCGAAAATATGAAAAGAATATTAAACAGAAAATCCAATGAGTTGTCGAGGGGGTTGAAAAAAAAGACTGGGAGGTAAAGAACGATAACCGGTCGTGGCCAGACAGGCTCGTAAAGATCCACGCGACTGAGGAGCGCGAGAAGTTAAAACTCCCGCGGCACCGTTCCCAAGTTTCTTTTCTCTCGAAGGCATCAATTCTCCAGAGGGTCCCGTCCCTCTCACCCTCTAT